AAAAAAATTACCTCAATGTAGGTGGCAATCCCTTGGTTGAAGTTTCTTATGCAAAGCTCCAATTATCCAACCGGTGGTTGCTGCCTCTCTTTTGATGTTTGAAGTTGTGTGTGAGTGTGTTGCGTGAAGTGAGCAAAGAAAGAGCCGAGAGGGAGCTAGGAGGAGGAAGAGTGCCTTTCTTTCTTTCTTTTTTCGGTTGAGAGCCGAGAGCTGAGAGCCTCCCTTTTTCTTCTTGTGTGTTTTCCCCCTTGGAAAATGTTGAATGTTGAGAGAGCCGAGAGAGTTTTTTTTTCTTTTGTTTGGTTTTTGTTCTCGTCTGTTAAGAGCTAGCCGAGAGAGGGAGGGAAATTGTTTTTCCTTTCTTCCTTGTTCTGTGAGGGAGCGAGCCGAGAGATGTATATTGGGAGAGAAAGTGGAGCTTGTGTGTGTTCTTGACCAAAATGATGATTTTTCCCCTAATGAAAAGAAAGGTGCATGGCAATTGAGTGTGAAATGGGTTAAGTGTATTTGGTGGAAAAAAAATGATTAGGATGATTTGATTTCTTGATTTTCTCCTTTTTTTCCTTTCTTTTTTTTTTTTGTTGCTATTTTGCTTTGTTTTTTTTTCTTTTCCTAAAATAAACCTGTAAAAATGAGAAAATTACACATTAAAATGCTAGAAAATAAATAATTCATTAAATAGAAAAATCTTGAGAAAGTATTAAAAATTGACAAAAATTTGGTGTCTACAGCTTGCCCCTTTTTGTCTAGAGTTTCAAAGAAACTCAAGACAAAGACGTAGACACCAAATTGCTTACCTGTCTCTTCTAGCTGTACCTGAGCTAAAATAAACAAGTCAACACTTGGCTGAAATTATTGGACAAAATGATGCAATAACATTGCAAAAAACGTGACCGAACCCATCTAGAGTTGCCTACGTATCCTGTCCTGGGAATCAGGTCAAACGTAGTTCGAATGCAAGTGAACCACAATGTTACAAGTACATTGACCAACTGTGATCTTTGCAAAGTCGAAAAAGTCTGAGCTCTCAGAACAAAATGAATGAGAAAGCACAATTGTTAATCAAAACAGTAAAAAAAAAGTAACTTGTCATAATTAGAAAAAGATGCGCGGAGGGACGCGATTACGCTCCAAGAAGGGGGATAGAAGGGTGCGCGGTGGACGCTGAGACTCACCAACAGAAAATTAAATTTGTCAAGAAGGGGGGTAGAAGGGTGCGCGGTGGACGCTGAGACTCACCAACAGAAATTTAAATTGTCAAGAAGGGGGATAGAAGGGTGCGCGGTGGACGCTGAGACTCACCAACAGAAAATTAAATTTGCCTTTTAGAAAAAGATGGCGGGAGGGACGCGATTACGCTCCAAGAAGGAGGATAGAAGGGTGCGCGGCGGACGCTGAGACTCACCAATAGGAAATTAAATTGATCGTCAGGAAATAACGGATTGATGGGATAAAACCCGAATCCAATAAAATAAAACGGTCAGTGGGATAAAACCCAAACCCAACGAAAATACAAGACGGTCAGTGGGATAAAATCCGAGCCTGCCGAAGTTGGTGTTATAAAACCCAATCCTAACATGATATACAAAAGACACGTTAGTGGGTTGGACCCAATGCTAACGAATATGAAAAAGCAAAACACACGTTAGTGAGTCAATACTCGATTCTAACGGTGATAAAAGACACGTTAGTGAGTTAAACCTGATGCTAACGGATATGAAAAAGCAAAACACACGCTAGTGAGTCAATATTCGATGCTAATGGTGATAAAAGACACGTTAGTGGGTTGGACCCGATGCTAACGGATATGAAAAAGTAAAACACACGTTAGTGAGTCAATACTCGATACTAACGGTGATAAAAAACACGTTAGTGGGTTGGACCGATGCTAACGGATATGAAAAAGCAAAACACACGTTAGTGAGTCAATACTCGATGCTAACGGTGATAAAAGACAAGTTAGTGGGTTGAATCCGATGCTAACGGATATGAAAAAGCAAAACACACGCTAGTGAGTCAATACTCGATGCTAACGGTGATAAAAAACACGTTAGTGGGTTGGATCGATGCTAACGGATATGAAAAAATAAAACACACGTTAGTGAGTCAATACTCGATGCTAACGGTGATAAAATACACGTTAGTGGGTTGAATCCGATGCTAACGGATATGAAAAAGTAAAACACACGCTAGTGAGTCAATACTCGATGCTAACGGTGATAAAAAACACGTTAGTGGGTTGGACCGATGCTAACGGATATGAAAAAGTAAAACACACGTTAGTGAGTCAATACTCGATGCTAACGGTGATAACAGACACGTTAGTGGGTTGAACCCGATGCTAACGGATATGAAAAAGCAAAACACACGCTAGTGAGTAAATACTCGATGCTAACGGTGATAAAAAACACGTTAGTGGGTTGGACCGATGCTAACGGATATGAAAAAGTAAACACACGTTAGTGAGTCAATACTCGATGCTAACGGTGATAGAAGTCACGTTAGTGGTTAGACCCGATGCTAACGGATATGAAAAAGCAAAACACACGTTAGTGAGTCAATATTCGATGCTAACGGTGATAAAAGACACGTTAGTGGGTTGGACCCGATGCTAATGAATATGAAAAAGTAAAACACACGTTAGTGAGTCAATACTCGATGCTAACGGTGATAAAGACACGTTAGTGCATGAGAAAAAAAATTCTTGAATACTTACCTGAAAAAGCTTTTCAAATATTGCCCCAGTTTGAATCATTTTTTTATACAACCAATCATTTGCTTTGCATTGTGTCATCGTTGCTTCTTCTTAAAGTCTTGATTCGTACTTCCTCTTCTATTTGAACCCTGGATGTTTGATTATTGGGTGACTTTTCATGACTTAATTACAAAAATAATTCTTCCAGTTTTGCTATGTGAAACCATCAAAATAATGCCACCACTATTCGATCTGTCCGGCTTTCGAGGAATGTGTAAACATGAGTATTTTAATCTTTTTCTCGATGCTGCAAAACCCGACCTTGCAACGCAAAATTGCATCTCAGTTGTCTTTGCTTCCAATGCTAATTTAACATGAAAACTTATAGATATGCACCTTTCGATAAATCGAGGAAATTGTCATTTGATAAAATCCAATGAGACAAATGAAACTATGCAACACCCAAAGAATTTTTATACAAACATGTCACAAATCAAAGTAATGTAAAAAATAACCATCGACTCGTATTGAAAGAAAAAGATGAATTTAGAAAAATGAATCACAAATCCAGCAATCTATGTTGATGACCAAAATATTTTGACCTCTAACAAAGTGCCCCGTTTGACCCTTCTGAATATCATTCGTCCGAGATTCAATGCCAGCAGAAAAACCACGATGTAAAAAGGAATCCCAATGAACTGAATCACCTTTACTTTCTTTGTGTAACCCTACCTCAGCGTCATTTCGGGTTTTCACCAAAATTACCCTCCATCCTTTTGTTTTTTCTTTCTCTTTCTCTTTTTTTTCTATTTTCCTTTTTTGATTTCCTTTTTTTTTCTTTTAGAAGCGTTCTTGCAGATTTTCACATGATGAGCAGTGCCAACCTCACACCTAATCAATTCAGAAATACACCTAAAAAATTTTCTGGCATCAATATATGAATATCATTTGCCAATTGATTAGCAAATTTCTTGATAGAGATATTGCAAAGAACAGAAGTCAAGACTTTCAGTTTTTGTAATGGAGTCAGGTGGGGTGTTTAGAAAAGTTAAGGTTTGAAAGCAGACTTCAAAAAGTGGTTTAAATGATCTGAAATCGCATTATTGTATCAACCCTATTTTGGGGTTAAATCAAAACTTGCCCCAGTTTATTCTCAACTGAGATTCTCTTTTTATTCATTTTCCTTTTTTTTCGGCCTTCTGCCATTCCTTTGAAACTTTCAAAATTTGCCCCAGTCTATTTTTAACTAAGGTTTTCTTTTCTTTCATTTTTCTTTTTTTTTCCGGCCTTCCTTCAAAAATTGAATTTGCCCCAGTGTGAATTTTTTTCTTTTCTTTTCCAAAACTAAATTTGCCCCAGTGTGGGATTTGCGATTCTCAGGGGTTGCCAAACGAAATGATTTATTCTGAAGGTTCAAAAGGGATAACTAGGGATAAAAATGTCTCAATGGGAAAGGAAGAGGGCCTGACTTTTATTCTGTTCCTTATAGTAACTCTGAAAAAAAAAACTTTCATTAATGCAAAATTTCTTACATGTATCTGAATTAATTGACTGAAGAAGACTCCTCTTCATCCATATCTGTGAAACATAAGTGATCCGCCAGACAATACTCTTCCTTTTTCTTTTCCTTTTCCTCATTTTCATTTCTTTTCATAATTTTTTTTTTGACAACAAACCATTTCCAATCTTGCACCAAGAACAGTTGCCTCAACATTTTGTCTCTTTCCGAGTAGTCATGCTATCTCTTTTATTGTAAGCACAGGTCGCTCCTTTTGACTGTATTTGGTTGCTTCTCCTCAACTAGAGATTATTGTTCTTGACACTGCTTTCCATCAACCTCCTTTTTCTGCTTTTTATTCAAGTGACCACTAATTTTATTTCCTTCATCTTGATCCCCATTTGGTCTGAGCTCCTCCTTATACCATTCGGGCCTCTTTAAAACATTTTCGGATGTCTCTTCACTACTCCTCTCATTTTGAAATTCAAATTCACATTCGTGAAATATCTAGATGGCTGCCATCAAATTTCGGAACAGTGATATCCAAAGGATCAGGGGGTTTTATTCGTGACCATCTGCAAAGAATGTGCAAGTAACACAGTATGTATAAAACTGTACATTTTATTGCATTTTAAGATAAAGATCGAAACGTGTCTTCAAAAGCCACTTGATTGAAAACTATTTACAAAAAATATGGTTAAACAAAAGACACGTGCATGAACAATTTTCATGGATTTAATCAAAAACAACTCCTCAAATTTATCGAAACTCCCTTCGAGAAGGAGTTATCTCACTTGTTCGGGATTTTCAAGTTTTCTCATCGGGGGTAAATGTTTCATAGGTGTCCTTGTGTTCGGGAAAGGGATTCGTACTTGTGTTCGATCCTTGTTCTTCCCTCTCCTTTAACACTATATCTCCTGCTTCAATCATATCCTGGATCTTATACTTCAGTATCCAACAGTTACCAGTCGAGTGACCGGGCGCTTCAGAATGATAAGCACAAGCGGCTTGAGGGTCGTACCCAGCAGAGAAGCCTCGACGAGGGTAGTTTGGAGGAGGTATGTCATCAATTTTACCGGCGGCCTTGAGTTGTTCGTACAGTTGGTCAATGGGCCTGCCTAAATTGGTAAAAACTCGAGATCGGCCGGGATTTTGTATTTCATGGGTTTGAAGATGGTTGTAGTTCTGTTTGTTTGGTGGAACAGATCTGGGATTATAAGGAGGGCGAGGTCTAGTTTGGAAGTTAGGTGGAGAAATATGAAATGGTGTTGTGGGTGTGTTTGGATAATTTGGTCGGGGTCGATGATGGTTAATGGTAGTACGATAGACAGGTCGAGGGTGTGACTGGTATGAGTAATGGGATGGACAAGTGGGGTATTGTCGGTACCTAGGTAAGAAAGAAAGGCCTTGGTTCCAAACAAATGAAGTTTCCTCCTCTTTCTTCTCGAACTGGGATTTCTTACTACTATCGTCTTGATTTTGCATCGCTTCCAATTGTGATTTCAGAGCTGACACATTAACAATCTTTCCTGCTCTCACAAACTCATCATACTCTTCCAATTTATTAACAATTTCTGCGAAGGAACATCCAGTCATGCGAAAAATCTCCTCAAAATAGGGCGGGTCATGAGTTTTAATAAATGTACGCACAATTTCATCTTCAGTCATGGGGGGTTCCACCTTGGCAACCAATTTTCTCCATCTTTTTGCATACGTCTTGTGATCCTCAAATGGTTTCCTTTTAGTTCCTTCCAGTGTGGTCCTTGTTGGAGCCAACTCGCAATTGTATTCGTATTGCCTTATAAAAGCGGTTGATAAGTCCAACCATGTTCTCATATCCTCGGGCTTCAAATTGGAATACCAGTCCAGTGCATCGCCTTCTAAGCTTTCAGGAAACAAACGAACTGGCAGATTCTCGTCATCCATTGGCTTGCCCAACTTGTTGGCAAACATTCGGAGATGCGTCTTGGGATTGCCCGTTCCGTCATATTTGCTAAATTTGGGTGCTTTAAAACCCACGGGTAGTTGCATGTTAGGAAACAGGCATAACTCGTTATAATTCAAGCTCCCTTGTTTGCTCAAACCCTGACTCTTTCTCATGAATTCATCAAACCGATCCAACCTTTTTAGCAAATTCTTGTCAATTGGTGCGAAGGATCCCCCAGCTTCAACTTTCCCTTGGACAGCGGTATCCAGCGTGAATGGTTCAACAGTGAAATTGTAATATGGCTCTTGAGATTCAAGTGGCATGTTCAGATTTACAGATGGATGATTTTGGGAAATTTGGAGGTCAGGAGGATTGGCTTGGGTAGTGGGCGCATGGGTATGTGGGAGGCCAGGAGTGGAATAAGTAAAAGTTTCCTTATGCGGATTTGCAAAATGTGGAGTAAAGGAGGTTTGAGTACAGGGTAAAAGTATTGGTTCAGTTGGATTGGCAGGTAAGGGTTCCCGCTGGATACCGCCGCTGCTCCCAGTGACTAGCTGATCAATTACACGTCGTTGTGCTGTCATTTCCATATTCAGTTCATTGAACCTGTTTAGCACTTCGCTCAGTTGAGCTCCCAGATTCACCAAGTCAGTTGATGATGTCGTTACAGGCCTATCGGACGACTCCGGATATGTACTCATGTTTACACGATTTCTCAAAATTCGGCTATGTGAACGTGTAATGATGGGGCTTTGTAGCTATATTTCAAAAACACCTGACATTTTAGAAAACCCTATTTAACATCATCTTTTGATCGGCTTTTAGCAAAACAAGAAAAGAAAGAAAAGAAAAGAAAAAGGCACGAGTTAGTATATATTGAGATAATTCGGATGCATGCCCTATCGGGGGACCCTTTTTATGCCAAGGGTAAGCCTAGCATGAAAATGCAATCCTCTGGGACAGGCACTATACAATACCTGATGAACCCGACCAAGTTATTAAGTGAAAAAAAAAAATTTTAAAAATTTGGCCAATTGGAGTGAGAAGAGACATTTGTCCAAAAAATGAGAACAAAGTCCGAATGGATTGTTTGCTTTGATCAACACATAAAATGATGTGTAATAGGGCCTACTCTTGAAAGGATTACCACGTCTCGACTAGGTTTTCGGTGAACCTTAGATCGAAACCCTAACAAAGAACAAACGGGTCAAATGGATTGGATAAAACTGATGATTTATTCAAAATTGACTAGATCACCCAAAAAATAGGTAAACTGATCAAATGAATTGAATGAAATTTGATTTATTCAAAATTGATTGGATCACCCTAAAAAGGGGTAAATTGGTCAAATAAATGAAAATGACGATTTATTCAAAATTGACCAAATTGTTCTAAAAATGAATGAATTGACCAAATAGATTGGATGAATTTGATGGATAATTTGATTAAATGAATTGAATGAAAATGAGAGTTTATTGAATTGGCTACCTATTCGTAGTTTCAAAAAATTCATTGCGATGCATCAGTCTATGAGCCTTCTAAAATCAAGATTTGGCCTCGATTATATTTATCGTCTCAACAATGTAGAATTATTTGTGAACTTCTCCAAATTAATATCTTTTGCACAAGGGGATTTTACCAAATATGTTAAAATGGTCAAAAGATGATTGTTAGGTGCTCATATTCCAAAGATCGTGTTATGAAAAATAATCGGATCCTACCTTATCTTGTGCACTACCCCTTTGGATGGTACAAAAATATAAACGTGCAAGTCTCATTGAATTATATATCTGAGACAAAAGGTGGCTTATTCTTAATGTGGGATCCCCTATGCGGCATTCCCTCTAAAGTTGATGTATGATGCCAGTTTATTAAAGCGATTAAATATACAATGAAATAATTGAAATATGACCTAAAATGCCTAATTTAAATGCCGAGGTAAGCTTAAAATGATGTGCAATACATACGTATATTATTAATGCAATTAACTAAAATTTAAACATGCTTGATATAAAAGGCGGTCTTGTTCTAAACGAGTACCATTTCAGGACTCTTATTTTCTAGGGTTTATGAATGCAATGGAGACAAAAACCAAGAAAAGTTAGTTCAATCAGACAATATACACATAACACATTTGCAGCAAAGCAATACAAAGAGGTAAAGCAATAAAAGGAAAAGAGGGGTTGGATCCCTCCTCTCGTGAATAGTGTCCCTAATAGGGTAAACTATCATGGATGCATGAGGTATTGGCTCACTAATGCATCTAGACTCGATAGGTTTTAAGGTCCCCGAGCCTTCAGACTTGTGGCCAAGGGTCACCAATTCCAAGGCCCTTTGTCGGTGACTCGAGCGATTCCCCAAACACCGCTACGCACACATCGTGTCACGGCTACGTGTTTGAGTGAATCTATAAAAAATCCTCAACCTTCGACTAAAAGCTAAAGGCTATCATCCCAAAGCTTAAAATGGAAGATTGAGTGACCCCTCGGATCATGTTACGCATACATCGTGTCGCGATCACACGTCCAAGTGGATCGCCTAATCCTAATAAGGTGGAGTGGCGTGACAAGCCACTAAAAGAAAAATAAATGAGGGCTAAAAAATAAAACGTATGCACGTATGCCAGTGCTCGATTTGGAGGGGAGGGATTGAGAACCAAAGCGAGGCTCTAGGGTAAAATTCTCCACCCCAAATGCAAAGCGCGATACATATAAGTAAATAAACAAAAGTAAATAAATAAATCATTCATTACATACACGAAAGACGAGGAACGAATACGAGTGTGAAACGCAAAACATCCCAAAAAGGAAAAAAAATGCAACCTAAAACATCCAAATATGATAAATAAAAAGGATTAAAAAAGAAAAGACAACGAAACCAAATGCTTGGACTCTCTAGCTCCCCAGTGGAGTCGCCAAGTTGTCAGGCCCCATTTTTCGCGATAAAAAAATAATGATAAAAGACATTTATAAAAGATGTGATTTTATTAAAAAATAAGTGAAAAAGGACCTAAAATGGGACTTTAAAAAATGTGACAATTTGGGTCCAAAATTTAGTCAAAAAGGGTTTTTCAGAAAAAAAAAAAAAAAAGGAGTCGCCATTTGGTATTGAGTTTTGGTGTACCAAGTCACCAAAAATATTTTTTTTGCAAAAATAAAGTAAAACCCTTTTAACAACTCCAGGTCTTTGAAAAACAAGAGAAAATGGATTCGGGAGTCACGGTTGAAGAAAGGGAAGGCAAAGGTTTAATTAATTCAAACCTAAGGCACCCTTTCAACCTAGTCTAAATTAGTTGAGAGTTTTAGTCAAAATTTTCCTAATCTAACCCTTAATTTTATCATATTTGGATGTTTCCTACATGGATGCAAATAAAAAATATAAAAATATCGAAAGGGACAAAATGTTCATTCAAGGGTTTAATTGAACCAATCGCATTAATTGCGAAGGCCAAAATAATCCCTTGAAGGTGTCACGAGTATGCAAATGATGAAATTAAAAGTAAAGAAAAAAAATTAAATTATATACATAGATATAAATGATCAAAGAAAAAAGGGAATGCAACATAAAGGGGTACTGGAGGCAAAAACTCGTGACATAATTTTCTTATACAGGGATTATTGGGATATTTAAACTAAAAAGTTACAATCACCCATTCCCTATGTTTGAAAAATAATTATCCTAACATGAACAAGCAAATGAACTAGCTTAAATGAGATGCAATTCTAAATGACATGATTAGCACCTATAACGAGTAGAGGATAATGTAATAGGAAATATCATACAAATGAGAAAAGATCTTAAAAATGAAAATATGCATGAAAATGTAGTGAATAGTACACAAAGATGAATCTAGCGCAAGACTGCCTAAAGGGTCTAGCATTGGACTAGCTCATTTCTAAAAATCCTTATTAGCGTTGGACTAGCAAGTAAATAGAGAGAAAAGCCACAACTAACGTTGGACTAGTGTGGTGACGTCATGCATTAATAGTATATAGTAAAACAAATAAAGTATAAATTAAAACAAATAAACACATAAGAGCACGTAGCACATAACACGTAAACATAATATCTAGAGGCAAAAATCCTAAGAAAAGCGGGTAAAACACATAACACATAAGCTACATAAACACGCAACTTATCTATTACATTGGAGAATCTAACTACAATCTAAAATGGGAAAAATATGATAAAATAAAATTAGTTATCCTATCTATTACATTTTTGAGGTATTTAAATGCCTCTCGAATAATTATAAAAATTAACTAAACAAATATAATATAAGAAAATTTAAATGCAATAAATAAAGCATATAAAAATATATAAACACATAGGAGCACATAAGAGCACGTGATTGACATTGAAATAATAAAAATAAGGGTACCTCCCGTTTGAAGTGGTGATTAAATGTAGTCAAATTGTCCTATTTATACTCACAATGAACAAAAGAATCATGGCACCAATTTAATTGAAATAATTATAATAATGAAACTACTAAATTCACCTTAACATGTCAAACGTAAATAGATTTAAAAACATCTAAAAATTACAAGTTAAACATACTCAAAAGTAACATAATTGGCTATTAAAGAAAAAGAAGCAATAATAATAAAGAGAGTCAAAATTCACAAGGGACTGAATTGCAAAAATTAAAAACTTTTGGGGGCAAAAATATAATTTTTCAAAAGTTTAGGGGTCAAAATTAAATGAAAGATAAAATTCAGGGATGAAAGTACAATTAAATTAAGGACCTAAGTGAAAGGAATTTAAAATATTCTGGTCCGTAGTAAAATTACTCCAAAGATCAGGGGCAAAAATGTAAATTTCGGCTTCTGATTTGGGCAAGAAAGAGGCCATCGGGCCATCATTTTATTTATTTCTGGGCCAAAAACTAACTAAGCCCAGCCGAAACCCAAAGGAAAATAAATGGCCCAACCCATCCCTTTTGTCAAACAAACCCAGCTGAAATGTATGGAATTCAACTCCCAGGCCCACTAAAAAAATTAGCCCATTTCTTTTCCTTTCTCTTCTTCTTTTCTTTTCTTTTTTTTCTTTCTTTCCCTTTCTTTCCTTTCTTCTTCCACCCGAGCAGCTGAACTCCTCGCCACCGCCAGCCATGGCTGACAAGGCGGTTGCCGGCGCCGCCACCGCCGGTCGTCGGCCATTTTTCCGATCACAAAATTTCACCAAAATATAGCCCCTCACTCGATTTTTCGCGTAGGTTCCATTTTTGAACTTAGTTTTTACAAAAAAAAACCCAAAAGTGGCCAAATTGCCAAGAAATCAGTCCAGTTTTTATTCCTTTAATACCGTTAAACCTTCACCAAAAATCATAAAAATTATGTCAAAACCCTCCTTATAACTTCTACATTACAACCATAATCTTAGTTTGACAAGTAAACAACATAAAAAGGCTAGAATAAAGCAAAACAGCCCCCTAAAATTCGTCTTTTCCATTTTGGCATTTTCACAAACACTTAACATGCATTCATGGGCCCATTTCTTTTTCCTTAATTCGGTGCATGATTTGTCTCAAAAACTCAGCAACCCAACAACCAAGAAAACCAGCAAAAGCAAAAGAAAATTAAACAATGAAGCATGGATTTAATGTGGTAAACAAAACTAAAAAAAATTACCTCAATGTAGGTGGCAATCCCTTGGTTGAAGTTTCGGATGCAAAGCTCCAATTATCCAACCGGTGGTT